AGAATTGAATCTTACGAAAGTGTTACCAGCAGTAGCTCAGAAAGTTGCAGCGGATTATTTGAACAACTCATCGGCTATTGATTTTTCGAATCCAGCATTCACCGCAGCAACCGAAGAAACGAAAAACGGGATTAGTGAGGCGTTTCTGGATAGAGGTTTGAGTCAAACCGTGACCGAATCAAGTCAGCTTCCAGATCGAGTCATTCCTGAAACCAGTCAGCCTCATCAGTTTAGTGCCGCCGAATCTAGCCAATTTCCAAACCAGAATGTGGCCGGCTCCGGGAGTTTCGTGAATCAAATTGCCACTGTATCCAGTCATGTTCCGATCGGATCTGGTCAGCTTCAGGTCGAAGTCCACGTCAGCGAGAAGCCTAAAAAACAAGAAATTTCAGAAATTGAAATTGTGACTGATGGAATAGCCGGGAATCGGGAAAGCCTTAGGAATATCAAAGCTGCAAGTGAATTAGTTGTTGGGAAAAATGATGAAATTCCAGTGCAGCTCAAGGCTGGTGAGGAAAGTTCAGGACGCGAACAGATAGCTAGAAGAAGCAAAGTAACTTCTGGAGGTGATGAAATGAAAGTTGGGCATGGATTAGCGAGAAGTGATTTACCGAAACGACTCAGGGATGATGAGGAGAGCTCAGGACTTGCGACTTCGATTTCAAACAAGAATAGTGATGCATCAAAAGCACCAACACTGAGCAGCTGTGTTACATCTTCCAGCACCAGCTTACAGCAAAAAGGTCATTTTTTGGCACTGATTCTATTCTTGTTTCTAAGTAAACTAAAAATAAAATCTAGCGTGCCAAAACCCTCTCTCTTTGCACTTTCACTGTGAGCCGAAGGCACTCGAAAGTAGCCCAACTGGTAGCAAATGCCAGCATCAACCGCTCGTTGGCAAGGCTATTGACCACTCTCCTTTTTAAAGCGTATCAATAGTCAGCCTTCTTCACAAACATCCGCTATTTGAAACATGCAGTTTTATAAAATATATTTACTGATGTAGCTGGGTCTTTTTATCTTTTTATCTGGGATGTACTGGGATATAAACACCCCAGTATCATCACTAATACTGAATCCTCACGGATGGACTTGGTATGTTTACTGAATTTATTACAGTAACAAATAAGATAATGCATATTATTTTTTGAAAAAGGGACGGAATTTTTTTGCAGATTGGTGAAAAATGTACTATTTTAATGAGATGTTTTGTTTTTTGCAAGCCAGAAACAGTGCAGATTTTGATTCTACTTTTTAGGAATTTTGATTCCACTTTTTAGGGATAAAAAGATTCCACTTTTTAGGAATAAGCTCCACTTTAAGCAGCACAGGGTTTAATTCTACAAAATCAAGTTCATCTTGTTCGCAATGAAAAAGCTTCTTTATCGGACAGAGTCCGAACAAAGAAAAAATTCTTTGCGCTCATAAATGCATCTTTTGCAATAGTATTATTGCTTTCCAGGGAAATTATCGCCTCTGATTGAAAATTTTTTTTCACGACGACAACAAAGATTTGGATCAAAGTATGAGATACGAGCTGCCACTGCTGGCTTACGCCGAGGCAGCAGCAGCACTGATGATCAGGTCAGTCCAGAAGTTAATGAAGCCGTTTGTCCTTTTCATTATTCTCTCTCATTACTACAAAAATTCCCTTCCCTCCTCCCCTGTCTCTTCCTCGCATCCTGGATTCACCTGGAGAGGTCGGGACCTTCGCTAAATCTTGTGTATTCTTGTGCTTTTCTAGCTGAAGTCTATACTTTTTTAATATACTTGTTCCATCTCCTGAGGGGATTAGTAGGCTGTCATGGCGTTGCCGTCTTTAAATACGTGATTAAATTTTAAATTAAAATTGATAGAATGGAAGGGGAAAATGCTGTGAAATGAAAAAATAAAAGAGGAAGCTGACGGAACTTTTTGGCTTAGGAAAGTTACTAAACTAGAAAAAAATGTTTGGGTCCACTGAAAGTTTTCAAAAACCAACGTGGATTTTATGTTTAAAGCGAACATCATGAAGGACTAGTAATTGCTTTAAGATACAAAACGAGCGTAAGAAACACTAACAAGCTGATTACCAGCATCGGACAAAACAACTCAAAAAGTTAAAAGCCACACAGCTGAAGAACCACGCTATGAGTTACAGCTGAGCAAAGTATCAAAGTTGTCTCTTTGCTTAAACTCTTCCGCCTGAATTTTTGCGTCACTTCAATAAAATTTTGCATTTTTTGCTTGCATTTTCTTTTTTCTTCTCTTAGAATTATGTTTTGCTGTTACCTCACGGTCTAACCTCTTTTATTTATCACATAATAATAATTTATGTGACAACTGTAGTACTGACGACGTCCAACTGTGCACTAACTTAAAGACAGTGCGGCTTTATGGACCGAAACGTTTTAACTTCGGCTAAATTATTATTTTTTCACAGCATAAGTTTGCAGTATTTTGTATTTCCAATATATTTTACTATCAGTTAATTGTAAAAGTAACAGTAATAACAGGAATAAAATCAGTAACGAAAGTGAAATAATAAAGTGTAGCAATATTAATAATAGTTGGGAAAATGATGGTGATAATGGCAATAGTAGTAGAAATAATCGCAGTAAAAAAGTATAAATATGGTAATAGCAGAATTGTTGCAATTGTAATAGTAATAATGGTTAATTGTAATAGTAATAATGCTAATAATGATCGTAATAAATTAAAGCGGAATGAATTTCTGTAGAATGTGTAGATACCTGGTATACGGTGATAGAGTGAGAGAAACTTTTAATGGACCTAAGCAATTTTTCTAAGTTTAAACTTCCATCATCTTT